ACATAAGCGTTGAGCTACAGTGTCACATTTGAAGCAGCCCTACTACTGAAAGCTTTTGTTATGGGTATGCTCCCCTCTCTCTGTAAAAAAAGAACCCTCACTTTAAAGTGGTCTGCAGCGGGAAGGCGGATTCGTAGTCATTATCCAAACACATCAGTCGATATGTATTTAATTCCAAACCCTCACTTCGACATCGCATTCTTCCGCTGTAACTCATTCAGCCTCTATGTGGTTTCTCACGCAAGGTGTCTTCGGTCGAAAGGGTACTGGGGAAACTCCATCATTTCATGAAACCGTCTTGTGCAGCCTCTTAGGCTGCGTTCATACCTTACGACGCCGACGTAACCGACTTAACGGGCGACTAAGGACTAGATGCATATGGATCCGACGTGTCGACGTAATGGACGTAACCGATGACAGAAGATTAGATACGTATCGACTGATGTCGAAAACGTAGTTTCTTATCACCCACCAATAAGAGAGTGATAAGAAACTACGTTTTTTCTGAGCCTAAGCATGTCTCTTCGTTTCGTCCTATAAGCATAACGGCACCCCCCGCTAAAGCTCTAGAGACGATTTTGCGTGACAAAATTGTATCCCATTTGATGAAGAACAATCTGGTTCCCGCAGAGCAACATGGGTTTATTAGTGGTGCTTCCACTAATAAACCCATGTTGCTCTGCGGGAACCAGATTGTTGGAGGTGCCCTTATGGCAGACTGTCTGTTCAATTGGAATTTAGCTATTAACAAGGGGAAGGGTGTGGACGTTATTTATTTCGACTTGTCCAAAGCGTTCGATAAAGTAAATCATGAAAAGCTCCAATACAAATTGTGGCAATTGGGTATCGAAGGCCCCATCCTTAGCTGGATCAGCTGTTATCTGAAGAATAGACACATGTTTGTCAAAGTGGGTGATACTTTTTCACAGAGTTTCCCCTGCACTAGTGGAGTTCCACAAGGTGGTGTCTTGTCTCCTCTGCTGTTTCTGATGTACACCTACGACCTTCCAGCCTGCCTAAATACCCACCCATTGGTCAGCGTTAAATGTACGCCGATGACATCAAAATATATGGTGTCTATGACAATTATAACCATGACTGCGTTCACCGAGCGTTAACCCAATCTGTATGTAACATGATGGGGTGGGCTACTGCTTGGGGTATACCAGTTAATTTTATGAAAACTTCTGTACTTCACATAGGAAAAGCAATAGTTGTACCGTACACCGTCGACGGCATCTCCATAAGTGTTTCGAGAGAAGTTCGCGATCTTGGGATGCTCGTGAATTCCACTTTGGATTTCTCGCATCACATAGATACTATTGTTCGCAAAGCTCTCGTGACCCTCTTTGCTATCCTGAGAAATATCCGAGAAAACGACTCTTCAATTCTACTGAAGCTTTATAAAGCATACGTCATCCCCATTCTCAAATACGGTTCTCAAATATGGAGCCCTTATACTA